CCCATAAATAATGACCACTCCCTTATAAAATAATAGTAGACGTTTCTTGTTTTGTCAGGCTCACGTCGACACGGCTTTTGAGTTTTGTAACCGGCCGAGGCGAAAGTAAATCATGCAGTCGGGAAAACGTCTTACTTTGAAAGATTATTTTGCAAAACATACTCGTACACACAAGAATCATAAAAATACAAATGTTGAATTGTTATTGTCAACTGTCAAGTTCAGTTATTTTTAGACAATATGGTGTTAGCCAGCCAGGCTCAACAATATTCAATATTGTTGACAAGTGTGAACAACGTGGGCAGCAAAACATTGTTCAATGCTGTTAAACAGCGGGCTCAGCGTTTTTACGCGTGTATTACTTCAGGGATGGATTTACTGGGGGAGGGGGTGCACCCCCTCCCCCTAGACCTGGCCAGAGGGGGTGCAGGGGGGTGCTATTTTTCATGATAAAGCAAAAAATTATTAGAGACAAAATGAGATACAGTAATTTGAGTAATAACATAATGATAAGCGAACTGTGAACAACAATTAAAATTCAAATACTGTAGTCAAGCAAGACTTTGCAGTAGTAAAGCAAGTTGATGGGCGGGCGGCACACATGACCGACACAACTCGGCACCAGAGCTGGCAGAGCACCCCCCCCCCACACACACAAGATCATGCTGGATCCATCCCTGTATTACTTTTTATATAATTTAATTTTACATAAATATATTGTACGTCATTTTAGACACGACGTAACGAACTTGAACAGCATTTAAAAGATTCTGTCCAAACTCATCTTGATATGGCTCATGTACGCATCAGGGAACTGGAAACTAGGCAAGAACAAGTTTGTGTTGGAGGTCGCTTTCTGTGGAAAATCTCAAACTATACTCAACTATGCCAGCAATCTGCTACACGGAAAGAAAAAGAGAAATTATGCAGTCCACCATTTTATACTGGAGAATATGGCTACAAATTGCGTGCTGAGGCATTTCTGAATGGTTTGGGTCAAGGGAAGGGATCTCATCTATCACTTTATGTTGTCATTTTGAAAGGCGACCATGATGCCATCTTGCAATGGCCTTTTAAACAGAAAGTAGATTTTGTGCTTGTCGATCAAGACAATGAACCAAACAATCGTCAAAATAAAGTTTGGAGATTGCAATGTGATCGAAATAGTGATTATTTTCAAAGACCAAATAAGATGAAGAGTCTCGGATTTGGTTGTCCGAAATTTGTTTCTCTCGAGACACTTGCGACAAGAAACTACATTAAAGATAACACGATATTTATAAGGATTGATGTCGAGCCATTTGATCCGTTTGCTTAGCTAACAATCTGAAGAAAAACTTCCAAGTGTAAAAGTTGACATTAACTTTGATGTAATCATACCATGTATAATAGGCCCTGCAATTGTTGCATCTCGATTAATAAGTCATAGTTAATATACGAACATGGTTGGGAGATCTATAAATCTTGATACCGTATACCTTGTGCGGGGTAACCGTTGAATAAACTGGTATCGACTTTATATAGCCCTAAATCAAATGAACTCAACGAAATCAGCAGAAAGGCGGGGGAAACATATTTTACGTTCAAGGAATGTATAAAAGCATTGTGTATAATTGGTTTGGATGGGGGGGTGGGGTTAAGGCTGCATGAGATTAGATTATGGTAAATGTTAGTATATATATTTGTGTAGGGGCTACATAAGGACTTGCCGAGGGGGTTGGGGCTGCATGAGCTATACACCAATAAAATTGAGCAGTTACCAGTGGCAAAGAAGCAAACCAAAGCGCCTGGGCACGAGTCAGAGCACTTACCACAGATATTTTTTTCTGGCCACAGCTCAATAGAGAATGTTTGTTGCGTCACCTAATTCTAACCATGTCTTTATAATAACTATGATTAAATTTTTTGAGCAATTAGTCTGTAAGACAGAAGCGCGGAGCAGGATTCTCGCATCTTCGGGTTCCAGTCAACGGGGATTGATTCAACGAGTCAGTTATCCATTTTTATGAAGGAAAATTGGGAGAATCTGAAGCAAAAACGAGAAATGAAGAAACATGATTATTGGTAGGCGAACGCCAATTTGTGGGAATATTGATTAAAAACTTTAACTGTACAAAATTTATGTCAACATGTACTACAGCAATGCTTCATTGTACAAAATTTTCAATACTTCAATATATAGAAACATATAAATTTGTCAGATAACTCTAACCGCGTTAGTTTCTTGTTAATGGTCTAAGATCAAAAAGTATGTGTGACGTAATTATCGAAAGGGTGTATTTAAGTGCACGAAATCTTTTCGCGACTTAACGCTTGTCTTGGAGGACAACGCAAACAAACACACTTCCAGAGCTCTTTTGCACATGACACTGAAGTGAACGCTGAATTAACTTTATATGAAATATTTTTATCGATTCACTGAGCTGGATGGTTGAAGTCTTTGCTCGGCGTGAAGTGTTTGCATGCGTGTATAATGCAACTACTTGAAAATAAGAACAAACTTCAAGCATAACATGTATATATAAGTTTAATTTTATAATGAACCACAACTTGTGATTATGAAATTGGACACTTAATCTTAATTCGCTTCACAACAACTACGACGTGCATAATACAAACACTTTACCAAATATTGTTTTAGTATAAACTGATTTCAAGTATTCGATATCACGTGATTTTACTCTGGGCCTTAATCTACAGGGTGAAAAAGGGTGAATAAAAAAAAAAACCTTTCGAAATCAAGCTATTGTTGGATTTTGAACTGTACAGGGTGTCCCAAAAAAAACGAAAACTATTGAAATCACCAATAACAATTTAATTGTTAGAATTTTAATGCCTAATTAGCGCTCTGTTGGTTCCCACGAGTGCATAAATGATTGACATAAGTAAATTTTATGCATGAAGAAACTGTTTAAGAAGCTGTTTTTAATTCCCAGGAGCAGAAAATCGCGCACTTTACCAGGAGATATTCCTAACTAAATTCTAATACATGCACCTTGTCAATATTTTACGCATCATGACGTGCAGCTGTTTGGTAGGGCATTCAAATTTAACAATAAGTGATTTCAATAGTTTTCGTTTTTTTGGGGACACCCTGTATAGCACTATGCTTAACCCACGGGTGCGTAAAACAGAATAGAAGTGAATGTTTGCATGACGAAGTTATTCAAAACTTTAATTTGGTTTGACAATTTTGTATCCAGTTATGCTCCTTCATACGATTAGAAGCTATTCCCGTGCAGGATCATGAAATCTTGTGCTTAACAACAATAGCTTGATTTCTAAAGGTGTCGTTTTTTTATACACCCTGTAAGTGCTGGTCCCCATTGTAAATTTATTTAAATATTACGTTGGCTATAGTATTGGTCAGTCAGAAAAAAGTACTTTATATGATTATAAGTAAATTAAATCGTAAATGCATGTTAATACTAAGTTAGCGAGTTAGTCCTTGCTGGATAAAGGAATTGTGGCGATTCATGACTTCTCATGTCCTCTCAGTCCTTGCTACAAAGACTAGCATACAATGATTCTGCCAACTTCATGCTGTCAGCGAACACCGAAACTGCAGCATAGCATTCCTCGTCAGCGGAAGCTATTATCACCACTCTTCCAGCGCTTGTCTCGTTGATCGAGTTTGCTTTCTTGACCAATTGCTCTCCTGAGACATCGAAGCTTACACACATTTGGAAAAGGGACTTTGAGAGTCCCAATTTTGCCATGCTTGCTGCAAGCATTATAAATTGTGTATCACCGTTAAGACGGGGGTTCAGATCCGTCAGATAATCTCCACTCGGGCTAGTGATTATATCGATACCAACGATGCCAAAGTAGCCTTTCTTATGCAAGTATGCGGCAACTGGGACGACATATTTATCGTAGAGCCGTTCCCTATACTGCTCTTGTAAATGCCAATCCACTGTCCCAGCAACATATCCGTAACCTTCCATAACGCATTCTTGAACTCCAATCCAGATGATGCGTCCAGATTTTGTCACGTAAAAACTACAGTCGAGTGTAGCGCGTACGTCTTGGATAAATTCGCTTATGATATAACTTACGTCTGCTCCAAATATACCCTTGACCATTTTCGAGACATTTTCAAATTCTTCGCGATTCCACGTCACATAATTGCGATAACCGCTGAGGGACGTCGACTGGTTGAGCTATACAGAATTGAATATGATAATATTAAGTGCATTAATTTGGTTCACGAAATGTTAGATACGATGGTTTCATACATGTGATATCCAGGAAATATAATCACTTCGGGTAATATTTCGCCGAATCCACTCGCTCCGGGTCTATAAACGGCATACCACGTTACCTTAATAAAAGTTTCAGGTTCTTATAGTTGACCTGCATGTAAGGACGAAAACATACGAACAGCCTCATTAATATACTGTATATCATTAACGAGACGGAATTTATACGCGAACGTAAAATCGCTCATGCTCGCGCTGTTTTATACGTCGAATTTCGGTCGCGTCGAATTGAATTCAAACAATAGATAACGATCGAAGCTTAATGACGTTTATCATCTCATTATCTACTGTCTTAATTTTAGACAATGAAGCTTAATGAGGTAAATTATCTCATCTATTGTCTTAATTGCATTCGACGCAACAAAAATTCGACGTATAAAACAGGCCTTAAGGAATATATGCTGAATAAATTACCTCTCGATATATATGCATGCATACGTTTTGTGTATCTATTGTTTTGTCAAAAAAAAGATCGATTAAACCTTAATAATCTGTGCATGGATTCGGCCGCATATTAGCCTAATATGCGGCCGAATCCATGCACAGTTCAGTTAGCTTTCGTGTAAACTTTAGAAGAGGTCAGAGGAAGTAACACACTGACTTTTAATTCCAGATAGCTGAAGGGTGACAGTTTAAACGAGTTATAGTTTAGTATAGATTAGTTTAATTAGTTTATGGATATCATTTGGCGTCAGAACTACTTAATTTAATTTAATTTAATTTAAAAATTTATATTGCGCGTGTTACATAGAAAGATGCTCACTCGCGCATTACATCAAAATAGAAAATTGGAATATTACACTAATTTAAAAACCGTCCTACAATAAATCTAAGAACCTACAGGACTGCTATATATTACTTGTCCTAATTATGACAGCATGGAGGAAAATGTCTTCATAAAAAAATGGGTTTTAAGCATTTTCTTAAATGATGCCACATTGCAGGCGTTACGAATTTCTGCTGGGAGGCTGTTCCACAGCGTAGGTGCAGCCACTTGGAACGATCGGTCACCCAAAGTGGTTAATGTTTTTGTTCCCGGTTTCTCAAGTAACAGTTCAGTAGATGATCGTAGATTGTATCTGGATGCAACCTTGAGTTTGATGAGTTCAGAAATATATTCAGGAGCGAGACCATTAATTGCCTTATAAGTGATAAGTAATATTTTAAAGCTAATTCTGTATCTAACAGGTAACCAGTGTAGTTTATACAGCGCAGGGGTGATGTGATCAAATCGATTAATATTACAAATCAGTCTTGCTGCGGAGTTCTGTACTCGTTGGAGTTTGTATATCTGATTGGCGGGCAGACCATACAAGAGACTGTTACAATAGTCGAGTCGACTCGTAACGAAAGCGTTAATAAGAATTTGTGTAGTATCAAAGCTGAGAAATTTTCTGATACGTCTGATATTAAAAAGATGGAAAAATGCTGCTTTACAGCATTTATTGATGTGTAAGTCCATTTTCAGTTGCGAATCGAACCAGGAGCCGAGATTCCTTACTACGCTAGATGGTTTGATAATTTCGTCTCCGATGCACAGTGAATCAACACTTACTTTTGCCAACTGTTGCCTTGTTCCGATGATGATGATGAACTCCGTCTTATCATCATTTAACTTCAGTTTGTCTGCCAGCATCCATTTCTTGATGTCTGTGATGCAATCTTGCATTGCCTTAATGGCAGCGGATTGCTCGATCATAGAGGCAGGTTTGAATGAAATGTATAATTGCGAGTCGTCTGCAAATGCATGAACATCTGGTAGGTGGCTTTCAAGAATAGTAAACAGTTTGCTTGCATAGATGACAAACAAGACAGGACCAAGACAAGAGCCTTGAGGAACACCATACTTCATTTCAAATGATCTGGATTCACCACCGTTGATAGAAATACATTGAGATCTGTTCTCGAGGTATGATTTAAACCAAGTTAGTACACGACCTGTGATACCAAAGCTAGAGCGTAGTCGATTCAGCAGGATGGTATGGTCAACAGTATCGAATGCTACACTCAAATCAAGCAGTACCAAAAGAGTTACGTGTTGTTTATTCATGTTCATCAAGATGTCATTTTTCACACGTAGAAGAGCAGTTTCAGTACTATGATATTTGGCGGTAGGAAGATTGAGCTTTAGGGTAAAGTTTGTGAGCGGTAAGGTGGTCATGGGTTTGATTAAAGACAGCTCGTTCCGTGAGTTTGGAAACAAATGAAAGGTTGCTGATGGGACGAAGATTATCAAATATAACCTCAGCTTTTGACTTCTTTAAGCCTGGGTGAACTTTAGCCAGCTTCCAGTTCTCAGGGAAACATCCGGATTGCAGGGACAAGTTTATCATTCTTGTAATTACCGGCAGAAGTACATCCAGGCAGTGGACCACAAGATGAGTGGGCATGAGGTCCAAAGAGCATGATTTTTTGCTTGAGTTTGAGATAATCTGGTTAACATCATCCTCAGTTAATGTCTTGAACGAGTCCAGTTGAACATTAGGCATGATCTGTGGTTCACTTGTAGGGTTGTCATAGGTGGCTGCACTGTCAAGTTCTTGTCTAATGCACTCGATTTTCTTGGCGAAGAAGTCACCTATATCATTCGCAAGGACTGTATTATCGCTGTATTCTGGAAAATGCAAATCAGTTTCTTGATTAAAAAGAAATTTGGCAGACTTGAACAGTTTACGATGATCGCTGCTATTCTCTTGTATGAAGGTGGTGTAGTACTCATTACGTGCGCGTTTCATTACAAAAGTGGCTTGATTTTTCTTTGATTTATAAACAAGGAAGTCACCATACAGTTTAGTCCGTCTCCATTTCCTTTCAGCTCGTCTTCGTGCTCTTTTCGCTAACTTGACTTCCTCATTAAACCAAGGAACGGTCGGTCTTTTTACAACTGTTTTGTGATTCAAAGGCGCATGTCGATCCAATGATGATGACAATGTATGGTTATAGCAGTCAACAAGATCATTGAGCTCCATTGAAAGCATGTTCTTGCAGAGATCTGAGTTGGAGAGATCGTTGCAAAGAGCATCGACATTGATGGATTTAACTTTCCTGTAGGATATATGGGTTTTCTTAAGACGAGGCTTGTTAACTAGAAGGTTACAATGAACAGGCATATGATCTGAAAAAATGTAATCAGTTCGAGGTGGAGAAGTAACAATATTTTCAGAATGTCTTGTTATTATGAGGTCAAGGGTATGTCCACGGATATGAGTTGGGACATTGACATGTTGCTGTAGACCTGTACTCTCGAGTAGCTCCTGAAGTTTGACAGCATCAACGTCATCAGTCACATCAACATGTATATTGAAGTCACCAGTTATCAAGAGCTGGTCAGTACAGAGGACCGCAGATTCAAGGAATTTAGCAAACTCATCAAAAAATATTGTGGTAGATACGGGATGAATATCGGAGTATGGTATTCTGTAGACAACGACTAGACGAATACGCCGGGACCCTGCTTTTATATTCCACTCAGAGTATTCAAAAGATCGGAGTTCTGCAGCGGATACTCTGTTAACAGTCAAATTATTCCTGAACAGCACTCCAGTGCCACCACCATGCCGGCCGGATCGTGGGTGGTCCAAGAGTTTATAGCCTGTGGGCGTGCAGAGGGACCTAGCAGCAGTTTCATGTTCATGAAACCAGGTTTCAGTTAAAGCAACAATATCAGGTTGATGATCACATATGAAATCGGTAAACTCAGCAGCTTTGTTGTTGAGTGATCGAGTATTCATAAGACAAAAGCTAAGGTTTTTGAAGTTGTTAGGTAAGAGCAAACTATTATTAATATTGACGCTGATACAGTTGATTGGGCTCCGAAATACATTCCATTGCTGATGTAAATTCATTCTTTCAGTAATACGCACGGGAATACTTAAATTAGTGGCAGAACTTCTCTTCTGTTCTATTACTGATTGTTGAGTTTTAGGTTGATAACTTTCCCATCCTGGGTTTTGTTCGACATCACCAGATAGTAATAACAATCTTCTTGTCGCAGTTGAATTCGAATAATACATAGCCCTAGATTTAGATAGCTTTCGTTTCTTAAATTCATTAAGCGAAACCGGCCCAATTAAAAACAAATCCCGACCTGTACGTTTCAACAGTATGCAAATCTGGGCACGATTAGCTTGGCTGAACACCGTCGTAAAACCAAAGGGCCAGACATAAATTCGTTGTATTTCTTGCTCATTTCCAAAATATTGTTTATCAAAAACATATTCCTCCGACAAGCAATCACAGCCGATTAAATCACTATTAAAAGCGACAGTTCTCGAACTAGCTAACGTAGTAAAATGGACTAATAGCGTCCTATCCCGTTCTGCATGGTTAAGTAACTTGTAAAAGTCGACCAGTAAACTCGAAGATTCCAGCTTAATTTCATAACTTTCCCCTTCAAACACGATATCTGTTGAAGCAGAAGCTTCTCCTGACGAGGAACAGCCAAATCCAACAACCTCAGGACCAAAAGACAAGAAAATGCATACAAAAAACAAGGAGCTCAAAAACATACGTCCGTACATGATTGTTGCAGATCTTGCACGATTGTTGCAGATTTTGCAGATCTTGCACGCATTGTCGCCCTAATTAAGGTGGTTCCCTACAGTTTTTGAAATATGACAAAATTGTGATTTAGATTTAATTTATTGAAGAGAGGTTTCTTGTTAGAAGACAAAAATTGTACCACATATATTGAACAATCTTCTAAGAGTTGAAAATTGTTCACAAAAATGACGTCATAACCGTTGCTATGGTAACAATGACGTTTCAATATGGCCGACATTTTACCTTTTAACACATTTTAGTCGAATAAAAGGCCAGTTATCCCCATTTTTTATTTCGTGAAACGTTTCCATTCAGAAAAATGAATGATGTGAACAATTTTAAAAAAATTCTGTAGATCCAAAAAATTTATCACGAACAATCACGTTTTTTAATTTTTTAAAAATTCTGATCTACAGAATTTTTTTAAACTTGTTCATATCATTCATTTTTCTAAATGAAAACGTTTCACGAAATAATAAATGGGGGTAACCGGCCTTTTTTTCGATTAAAATGTGTTAATTGAAAGGTAAAATGTCGGCCATATTGAAACGTCATTGTTACCATAGCAACGGCAATGACGTCATTTTTGTGAACAATATATGTGGTACAATTTTTGTCTTCTAACAAGAAACCTCTCTTCAAAAAATTAAATCTAAATCACGATTTTGTCATATTTAAAAAACTGTATTGAGCCACCTTAAGTCACAAGGGAGTTGATATCGCGCGTGTTTCTCTTCAGTTGAGATATTTCATCTATCAAGATATTCACTGGACACTACAATAAAATTTCAGACCGAAATGCAAATTAATTTTCAATTCCCAAAAGGCAAAACTCAAGGAGAGGCATCACTCACAACAAACAACTAAATAATCATGGAGAACGACATCAATAGTTTAAACCTTCTATTCCTTAATTTAAATAGTTTTTCCTTAATTTAAATACTATTTTTTAATTCAATACGACATGCGAACGGAATTTGTCCACGCAGCAATAATTTGCTAGTTTTGGTCCATAACAAATAATCATTTGCATATAAGGTCAGCTTACTAGGTGGCTATTTATCATTTATAGACCTGGAGCAAGGGGGATTCGGAGAAATATTAACCAAAGTGATGATATTTCCCGAGGGGCTTTGCCCAGAGGGAAATATCAGCTGAGGGTAACATTCGCCGAATCCCCCGAGCGGAGGGTCTATAAATTAAATATTATACCGAAACTCCAAGTTGAGAATATAACACTTGGCACTTAATTATTTTTATTAACGCAAGCATTTGTCAGTTTTCTTTCGAATTTGCTTCAAAATTTTCAAAAAAGGAGCTTTCTTTGAAGTTTAACTTCAATATTTGTCGGCCATCTTGTTTACGTGATCGCCGCGCGTGGTTTACGCGAATCACATTATGATCACATCACCTTGGGCCAGTTGTTTATAGCCCGATTAGCGCTAACCCTGGGTTAAATTTTAACCTGCTGTTTTTGTTCATGTATTTCTGCATGATCATTCGTTTGAAAAATTTAGAAAATAAAACCTCTATTGAACCAGAAAAGATTTCGGGAAAAACATGTTCAACCTGATTGATGAGCTGTTGGGAAATTTAATTTGTAGATTTGTGTTAACCCAGGGTTAGGCTAATCGACTTTTGAACAACCGAGCCCTTGTGATATTATTGAAATCACCGGCTTACGTCAAATACGATGACGTAAGGGGTGATTCCATAATAAATTTCATGCTCACGTAGCACAAACGTAGCTGTTTGATTGGGCAATTTGAATTTGAAATATATAAATATTAGCATAATATATTCACTGATCCAACCAATGGAGGAGCTAGGTCGGTGTTTCTGACATTCAGAGGAAGGTCAAAATCCGCCATTTTGGGGGTACTGTCTGCCCTCGTGAAAGATTCTAGACAATCCAAACAACGTGAAAAGCGACTTTTAAAAGTTGTAAGTGTAAATTTACCATTATACAAACAACTGTAAAACTAAAAAGTTGTATAGTTTCGTGATGCGGAGATTCTCAAACGTGGGAGAGGCAGTACCCCAAAAATGACGGGAAAATCGGCCATGAAAAAGGCTAGTTGGCTGTATTTTAATTTAAAGCGAACCAATTAACCGTGTGGAACCGACTAATTATTCTTTGAGCAACTTTTGCATATTCAAATGATGATTGAACAGTTGAAGAATTTGACCATGCCTATTCTAATTCTTTCAGTGTCAGCTATACATGTTAATTCAGCTGCAATTTATCTGGACGCAAAACGCGTCATTTGGATGCGCAGTGGAGACTCTTAGTCTTATAATGGAGAGTTCGTTCAATTAAATATTATTCGTGTATAAAACTGTGAGCATGAAAAAGTTATCTCAATGTCTTTACAGATTCTTACGTGTATATGTAAGCATGGAAATTTGAAAAACAGAACAGGCTTGCATGCCTATCACACGCATATTTTCGCTAACCCTTGGACAGCAAACCTCGGTGCCCAGCTATAGGTGTCGGTTATTTAGAGGTTCATGACTTTACAACTTCATACATACCTTGATCATACAAGGAAAGACAATGTTCTCTTCAGTGAAATATTTTGGATACGGCACACCGATTTCGGGAATTGCTTTTTTTTCAAGGATATGATAATGCATGTCTGGATCCACTGCATGTTTTTCCTCGGGTATTTCCTCCAATGGGAACGATGTAATAAGAGGATTTTTATCTGCAATTCCTTCGTCAATAGTTTTCATCACTGGCTCGATGAAATGAGGCAACCATTTCTTCCAGTGAGCAGAAAGAAACTCGCTTGGTAGTTTATGTACCAAGATTGGCAGCTCGTTTCCTGCTATGCAACAAAAACGAAGAGGAACTAGGAAACGTATGGGGTCGCTTGTTGTCTGAGGATCGTTAAAAATTCGATATTTGGTTTTGTTCTTGAAACGAAAGTTATCGTTGAAGGGGCTAGGGTAGACTGGGAGGATATAGGCTGACGGAAGATCTTGTTCAAACAGATTTCCAAGTGTTAACATAGTATCATTGTTGTTGTTTTCTGCTATATAATGGTCCATTTCTAAAAATAACAAAAATCCGACGCTTGACGAATCTTCGAGATACAATTGCATGTTCGTTCAGGCCATGCGGTCTTTAGAAACCTTATTAAAAATTACATTAAAACATGCCTAAACTTTGGTACTGTATACGTATTTGTAGACTTGATTGTAAACAGCACCAGAACACCAGATAGTGTATTGAGTACTGGTAACAGACAGAAATGACAGCGGGTTATTATGCTAGTCTTGTACGATTGTACGCCTGAGCAGGCGTCTTGTTTTGGTATTAGAGAGTTTAAGCGTCGCGTTATAGTTATACGTCAAACGGCAAACGCCAGGCAAAGAAAAATTTTACCAGTATCAGGCAATAAAGAGTAAATGAACTTGCTGTTTTAAAACTGCAATGCATGATTATTCTTTCGACGCAAGAAAGAAAATATGAAACGAAAACGTTCAACGAAAATTTTGCCAAGAAAGTTCGGACCTGCCGTTTGCCGTTCCCGGAAACGTGAAGCTTAACTCCTTATTGAGGCTACGTTTTCCCAAGAACAAATTAACTAAATGCTCATATATGTGGACCTGTCCGAATGACTTAACATAGCTTGAATCATTCTCGTACCCAGAGCCCTTCTTACGCGCGGTCAACCGAGCGCGACGAGGGGCTCTGGCCAAATCCATAACCGGATACCATAAAAACATGGTATCCGGTTAAACACTGCGCATGCTCAACGTCAATCGCATTCTCGTACCCAGAGCCCTTCTTACGCGCGTTCGACCGAGCCCGACGAGGGGCTCTGGCCAAATCCATATCAAACTGGCTTCTGATTGGCCACAACTAAATATATGGTTTATTGTATAAAATATGAATAAAAATCAAGCGCTCCATGGAGCGTTGGTTTCGTTTTGGATAAAATTGGGAGAAAAGACATTATTACAGCAGTACGAGGATTGTTGTTGATAATCGCCCACAAAAAGCGGTAGATGTCGCAAATTTTATTTATTTAAATCAATTAGTTGATTGAAATTAATAGGTTGAGACGTGATGTTCTCATAGCAAAAAGTCAGCATATTTATGGCAGATGCTCGTCCTATTTCCAAATCAGTGATGTTAATCAAACAAATCTGTGTAACATGTTCAAAGCTGAAGTGCCATCTGAAGAGAAAATATTAAAGCCAGCCAGAATATGAAGTTAATTGTGATGACTATTTTCTTCCTAGAAACCGATTTTTTACAATTTTCAAAGGATTTGCAGTATATTATGTCTTATGTATGACTGTTGACTTTTAATAAAACACAAAAAAGTCTAAAAATCTGTACAACAGCGACTTAAAATCGAATATAAAATAGTGAGACAATCTCTCGTCTTCGTATCCGTAGCCATTACTGCTTTGGCAACGTTTAAGAGGGAAATATATACTAAATTTTATCAACATACATTGAGAACATCACGTCTTACCTACTAATTGATTTAAATAAATAAAATTAGCGAAACCTACCGCTTTTGTGGGGTTTTCGTGGAGTAAAACTTTCAAAACGAAAGAAACAAGAAAACCGAAGTGTTTAAACTAACACCGCGGAAAAACGTCTGCGCATGCACCAAATTATGAAAATATGGCGGGGAATTTGAATATCAATTTCTAAAACAAAAACATGCTTATTAATTGGTCAAAAATTAGTAAAACAAACGAGAAAATATAGCAAATGGGTAGACTAGACATTAATTGAAAGCGTCCTGGCATTTAAAGTATGGAATGAAATATAATTCATGTAAAAAATTGTTGATTTTAACGGACACGACTTCGAAAATTTTTGTAAAATTATTCAAAACAAAAATTCAAACTCAAAAGTTAAGAAAACTCTCGAAAAGTTAAGCTTCTTAACCCACTCAAATTGTAGAATAAATCCTAAAGTTTAATTATTGTGAACACGAAATTTTTTTATATTTGGCGACACAGTTTTTTTTAAAGAAATGTATCTCAAACGAAAATTCGGAAATTATCGTTGCTTAGTTGATAAACAAAATGTTTCAGACGATAAATTTGTCAACAATCACCTTTAGTTCATGTTCTTGTACAATACAATTTCTTGAACCTTCTGGCTGTATTTATTCCTAGTTTTTAGAATGTCATGTTTATTTTTGCGCTCGAAATCTGGCTGTAAAGATGCCCAATGAAGTCACTCCTTTTTACCGCCATTTTGAGCCTTCGGAAACGTTCGGAACAGCTTCTCATCAAGTTTGCAATACTATTACAGGTAAGGTTGACGCATGCGCAGACGTTTTTCCGCGGTGTTGTTTAAACCATAGAGATTATAAATAACACTAGAGGAGGCATTGTAATCTTAATTCAGTAAAAAAAAGGGAACGCGACTATTGGGGGGCAAATTCAAGTCCCGGATGTGTATTCGTGTTCCCATTGGTGGCGAGTTTCAAATCAGCCAATGAGAGCACGATTTTATATCCGGGACTTGAATTTGCCCCCCATTAGCTGCGTTCCCAATTTTTAAACTCGATGCCTCCTCTAGTGTTATTTATAATCTCTATGGTTTAAACTGTGTTTATCGTTTATCCGCGTTTGACGTTGAGCATGCGCAGTGTTTAACCGGATACCATGTTTTTATGGTATCCGGTTATGGATTTGGCCAGAGCCCCTCGTCGGGCTCGGTCGAACGCGCGTAAGAAGGGCTCTGGGTACGAGAATGCGTCAATCGCGGATAAACACTTCGGTTTTCTTGTTTGTTTCGTTTTGAAAGTTTTTGTCCAGGAAAACCCCACAAAAGCGGTAGGTTTCGCTAATTTTATTTATTTAAATCAATTAGTAGGTAAGACGTGATTTTCTCAATGCATGTTGATAAAATTTAGTATATATTTCCCTCTTAAACGTTGCCAAAGCAGTAATGGCTACGGATACGAAGACGAGAGATTGTCTCACTATTTTATATTCGATATTAAGTCGCTGTTGTACAGATTTTTAGACTTTTTTTGTGTTTTATTAAAAGTCAACAGTCATACATAAGACATACTATACTGTAAATCATTTGAAAATTGTAAAAAATCGGTTTCTAGGAAGAAAATAGTCATCACAATTAACTTCATATTCTGGCTGGCTTTAATATTTTCTCTTCAGATGGCACTTCAGCTTTGAACATGTAACACAGATTTGTTTGATTAACATCACTGATTTGGAAATACGACGAGCATCTGCCATAAATATGCTGACTTTTTGCTATGAGAACATCACGTCTCAACCTATTAATTTCAATCAACTAATTGATTTAAATAAATAAAATTAGCGACATCTACCGCTTTTGTGGGCTATTATCAACAACAATCTTCCTAACTGCTTCGTACTGCTGTTCTTTCAACTTTAATAATGTTTTTTCTCCCAATTTTCTCCAAAACGAAACCAACGCTTCATGGAGCGCTTGATTTTTATTCATATTTTATATACAATAAACCATATATTTCGTTGTGGCCAATCAGAAGCCAGTTTGATATGGATTTGGCCAGAGCCCCTCGTCGCGCTCGGTCATAGAATAAGAAATGAATAGAAGGGCAACTCACGTGTACAACGCGTAACCAATTTTCAGTGCGCACGCGCGGGATTCTCAAGCTCGCAGTCAGTAAAAGCCAACACCGCGGAAAAACGTTTGCGCACCAAATTATGAAAATATGGCGGGGAATTTGAATATCAATTTCTAAAACAAAAACATGCTTATTAATTGGTCAAAAATTAGTAAAACAAACGAGAAAATAT